AATGGCCGTATCCCACTAAGGCGGGATAGCCCAAAAGAAAAAACGAAAGTTTCTCCTTTTACATTTGATTTCCCTACTCACATCTCTGACTCCTTCCTAGACCCAGTAGTGAGTGATCTGGCAGAAGGCATAGTCACTTGTCAACCCCTCGGCTATGTTGGATCGTCTGACCACAAGGCTGTTTTTACGACACTTAAAATCCCAACAGAACGAGGTGAAGAGTCCACACGCACAACCTGGCTATGGGAAAGAGGTAATTGGCCAGCCCTTTGCTCTGAGCTCGCCACCACCGATTGGAATGCTCTTCTCCAAGGGGATGTTGACAACCAAGTGAAAGCCTTCACTGGACACATCCTTAATCTACAGCAAGAACACATTCCTCACCGGCAATATGTGACGAAGCCTACAGATCAGCCTTGGTTTGACTCTCGTTGTAGAGAGGCTGCTATTGCTAAGTACAAAGCATGGCGAAGGTATAAGAGACATCCTACCACCTATAACAGGAACTTGCACAGGCAAGCCTGTAGGCATATGGGTGATGTTCAAAAGTGGGCCATTGCTAAATGGGAGGTGGGCACTAAAAGAAAGCTAGCATCAGGTAGGGTAGGCTCCAAAACCTGGTGGTCCCTGGTCAAGGACAGACAAGGTTATCTGCCTGATGAACTCATTCCACCTCTAAATGGACAGGATGGGACCACCTCTACTAGTAGTCAAGAGAAGGCGGACCTCTTTGCTGAACATTTTGCTACCAAAATGCAAGTTCCTGATCCAGCAAGGGACCCTCCTTGGCTAGCTGCAAGAACTGTGTCAAAACTGTCAGTGGTGACAATAAGGCAGGAGGAGGTGCATTTCCTTCTTAAATCGCTTGACCAAGAAAAGGTTGTGGGCCCAGACAAGTTGAGCCCAAGATTACTGAGATGTGCAGACCAGCTAGCAGCACCTCTAACTCGCATCTTTCAGCACTGCCTAGTACAGTGTAAATGGCCCTCTCTATGGAAAGAGGCAAATGTAGTCCCTGTTCACAAAAAGAAGAGCAGAGCAGAAATCAGCAACTACAGACCAGTGTCACTCCTGTCAATCACTGGTAAGATTCTTGAGACAATAATCTCAAGACAAATGACAGAGTTTTTTGACTACCACTCACTACTTTGTGATCGTCAATATGGCTTCAGGAAAGGTTACTCTAAGTGGCACCAGTCACTGGATGAATCCAAAGTCAGCTGTGTGGTAGCACTGGACATTGCTGGTGCTTTCAACCAGGTGTGGCACCAGGGCCTCTTAGCAAAACTTCAAGCACTGGGAATTGCAGGCTCTATGCTATGTCTCCTCAGTGATTACCTTCATGGTAGATCTCTAAGTGTAGTTCTCAATGGAATGGAATCAGCAAGACATCCTATTGGGGCAAGTGTTCCACAAGGAAGCATGCTGGAACCATTGTTATGGAATGTCTACTTCAACGACCTTCTTCATCTCATCCCAGAATCACATGCATATGCAGACGACTGTACACTGACATTCACTTATCCAATAGAAGAAATACCAGCTGCTCTAAGCTACATCAATCACCAGCTGAGAGCTATATCAGCTTGAGGAAATAGATGGCAAGTAACATTTGCACCTGAGAAAACGCAAATGATGATCGTCTCTAGGCACCATGATGGTAATGCTGGTGCAGTAGTAAGGATGAATGGGAGGGTGTTGGCACCTGGAGAAGAAGTTGATATCCTTGGGGTGAAATTTGACTCCAAACTAACCATGAAGAACCATGTTGTAAATCTAGCAAACAAGGCAGCCAGGAAGCTTACAGCACTTCGCCGCATCTCGCATCTGCTTGACAGTAGGGGTTGCAAGATTCTGTACGAGGAACAAATACGCTCACACCTTGAGTATGCTCCACTTTCTTGGTTTGCCTGCCCCCCCCCCTCATCTGCGACTGCTTGACAGAGTAGAGAGCAGAGCAAGACGTCTCATCTCTCGCCTGGACCCATCCTGGATAGATCTCTCATTTCAGCAGAGCCTTCAACATAGGAGGGATGTGGGTGGCCTTACTGTTATGTATAAGGCCAATATTGTCAAAGTACCACACTTGGATCCACTTCGAGGACAGCGTGAAACAAGCTTTTATGCCACAAGACGGGCAGAAAGCAGCAACTTCACTCTGGCTGTACCCTTCTCCAGAACATCACTCCATCTGAGATCATATATGCCCAGGATGACTCGAGTATGGAACACATTCGTACAGCATAATGATGTCAATGAGATAAAGTCAGTTGATCAAATGAAAATGCTGGCCCACAGATGGCTCCAACTTCATCCTGTTGTAGACAGCCTGTACTGTCAGAACACACAGCCTAGCCGTCTGCTCTGACTAGTTCATAATTCGCGGCATTTTAGGTGCTGCCCTCTGTAGGCTCACCAACGTCAGTGGGAGGCTGAGCCCACCGGCTCTCACTCCTAGGCCGACCGACTTGACAGACACAAGTGCTCCCCCTCCACGGACTGGCTTGCGGTCACTCCCTCACACTGCCCGTTGTGTACTCACTCCTATCCAATTAAAGCCAAACTAGTCCACGGCCGTATCATTGCTACCTATGCTACCTTCATCGGCACTAAACCGCTGTTCAGCAGTAAGAACAGCAATAACACTGTTCCCTACTTGTATGTCTCATAACAATAAAAATGCTTTCAAATGAGCTGATGTAGGTAACAGCTCTTAGCTTGCCAATAAAGTTAGGAATCCTAAACCTGTAAATAGCTTGTCAATAAAGCTAGGGATCCTTAACCTTGTCAAACCCTGTGTAAAAGAAAAAAAAAGAAAAAAAAGAGAAGGGGTTACTAGCCCCTTGCTCCCGGCATTTTAGTCTCCTCCTACAACACGCATGGCTTATGGAGGAAGAATTCTGTTCCACTTCCCCATGGAGATAAGAGGAAATAAACAAGAACAAGAACTAGAAAGAAAATAGAAGAAAACCCAGAGGGGTGTACTCACCTAGTTGTACTCACCTAGTTGAGGTTGCGGGGGTCGAGTCCGAGCTCCTGGCCCCGCCTCCTTCACTGATCGCTACTAGGTCACTCTCCCTGAGCCGTGAGCTTTATCGTACCTCTGCTTAAAGCTATGTATGGATCCTGCCTCCACTACATCGCTTCCCAAACTATTCCACTTACTGACTACTCTGTGGCTGAAGAAATACTTCCTAACATCCCTGTGATTCATCTGTGTCTTTAGCTTCCAACTGTGTCCCCTTGTTACTGTTACTGTGTGGTGTGTGTATATATATATGCTTGTACATGTATGTGTAGTGTGACCTAAGTGTAAGTAGGAGTAGCAAGATGTACCTGAAATCTTGCATGTTTATGAGACAAAAAAAAGACACCAGCAATCCTACCAGCGTGTAAAACAATTACAGGCTTCCGTTTTGCACAATATGCAAAACAACCACTGTGAAACAATAGCGAAATTCCAAGAACATTCGTGACTTCTCACATTATCAAGGAACTATAATAAACAAAACATCAAAGGAAGGCATATAAAGGGTCAAGACTACACCTCACCATCACGTCACCAAAACAAAGTTACACCTCACACACGCGTGACAACACCTGACTCTGTGAAGCCCAACTAATACTCTACCCAAACATTAAGATTTTTTACTTGTCTCGTGTAGCATTAAATTCTTTCCAAATATTATTTATTATAAATGGATCCAATTTATATATACTAAAAGAAATATTCATGTTATTTTCATAACTGCTTTTCATGACACATGATTCAATTATATTCCTGTCGACCATGGACTTGCTTGATACAACTTTCTTAGCCTTTTGAAAATCAATTGGATGGTTAAAGTCTCTCACATAAATAAATAGAGCATTAGAATCTTGTCCAGTTCTAATGCTATATTTATGTTGTTTTAATCTTAGTTCGAGACTTTTATCAGTTTGACCGTCATAAATTTTATCGCAAATTTTACAAGGAATCTTATACACATCCATCAGCATTTTGGGGGGAATTCTTCATCAAAAGTTTTTTTTACTGTATCAAGATTTTTGAATACAACTTTAATATTCAAAGTCTTAAGAAAAGAAGGCATATCAACCAAGTTTTCATGGTAAGGGAGAACCAACATGTTTTTATTTGAATAAGGCTGGTTGTCCCTTTTTGGATTTTTAAAAGGGTACCCCTTGGGCCAATTTTTAAAAAAGATTTATAAATTTTTGGGTTTTTTGGGGTTTAACTTCAGGTTTTTAGCTATTTCAAAAAATGTTGGATATTTTTTCTCAATGAATTTCGGGACTACAGATACGAAAAAGCTCTAAAAAATATTGTAAAAAACCCGACATTTTAATTTTTACTGCCGTGAAGAATAATAATGTACAGAGGAACGGGTTATTTTGTAGGTTTTCCTGTAATTTTTAAATTTAAAATAAACCTTTACACTTTATTAAAAAAAACACCCTAGAAAAGGCAATGAAAAAATTAGAAAAAAATAAAACTGCAGCTCTGGGTTTCGGTCTATATTTTCAACTTCAAAAAACAATAGTGTTGAAATTGCAAAAGCCTTTTGAACTTTGAAAAATTTCTGATTTATCTTCTAAATAAAATTAATATTAGAAAGGGGGATGGTAAATAGTTCTATGTTATAAAAAATTATTCCCGTTGCCCCCCTTTCCTCACCTACACCTAAAAATAACAGCAGGAAATACCGACTTTGGGGAGACTCCCCGAGGACCCTTTTCGGGAACCCCCAAACCCATTTGGCAAGCAGCATCTGACCGAGGGGGTTTCTCGGCACCTGTAACGATGGAAAACATAGTTTTTTTAAAACATTGTAATGAGAGACCCACAGTTTTTAAAAAACCTGAAACCCGAGGACCATACTTTTGTTACAGCCCTTTTTAACAAAGGAGAGAAAGGGGTTTGTTTACATCTGTAACGAGAGTTTAAACAGTTGTTACAACGTGTAACGAAGACACAGTTGTTACAACACATTAACAAGAGATCACAATTTTAAAAACACCTGTAACGAGAAAAAAGGTTGTTACAACACATGTAACAAAGAGAACACATTTTGTTACAACACAGGGTAACGAGGGGTTTTACAGTTGTTTCCCAACACATGAAACAAAAAGATCCAATTTTTAAAACCTGAACGAGAGATCTTTTTTTGGGTTACAGCACTTTGTAACGAGAAAACACATTTTTTTCAAACATGTAAAAAAAAGATCACAATTGTTAAAACCTGTAACGAGAGATCTGGTTGTTACAGCACATGTAACGAGAGATCACATTTTTTTACAACACATGTAAAAAAAAAGATCACAATTTTTAAACCCTTGTAACAGAGTCAGGGTTGTTACAGCAAAATTTAACGAAAAGAACACAGTTGTTAAAACACATGTTTCCCTGGATTTTTTCCTGGAGAGATTTCCCGGGGGTAACGCCCCCGGGCCCGGCTGGACCAGGCCCCCTGGTGGACCTAGCCTGATCAACCAGGCTGTTGCGTGGCGGGCCGAAAACCCAAAAATACGACCCCACACCCGGCTGCCCGGGAAACTGTTTTTAAGGTGCTTGCCCGGCCAGTTGAAGACTGCCGGGGGCTTTGGTAATCCCCCTTTTTTTGTGCTGGGGGGAAATTTTAAAACATTTCTGGGGCCCCTGACATTTAAATTTGTAGGGTCTCTTAACGTGCTAGGGGTCCCCCTTGTTTTTCTTTGGGGGGGATGGTGCATCGTCTGCCAAGTCTTTTGCTTTCGTAGTGGGTGATTTTTTGTTTTGCAAGTTTTGGTACTATCCCCCTAGGGTTTTCCCGGTTTTATATAACAAGTATTCTCCCTCCTGCCCTTCCAGGGAATACGGTTTTGGAACCTCAAGCGCTCCCAATAATTTAGGGTTTTATTTTCCGTTATGCCGCCTTTAAAAATTCTCTGTAATTTTCTAGGGCGGCAATTTTCACCCCCTTGAAAGGTGCTGTTAGTGGAGAAAAAATTTCCCCGCCTAGATAGAACCCAAATGCCTGAAGAGTGTCCCTTTGGGCTTTTTTCCCCCCCTATTTTTTAAGGGGGGGGGGGGGGGTTTTATTATCCTCCTGTCCCCTTTTTTTTTGCAGGGTGGTTGATACAATTTATGGGCCTTGAAGGTGAGATCCTCCGACAAAGACACTCCCCGGTTTTTTGGGCGTTGGGGTTTTTGCTCTAAATTTTTTTGGCCAGAATTTGTTTTGTACTCTGAGGGAAAATTTAATTTTTCCCCTGTTTACCATATCTGAGTAAAATTTTAAATTTTCATCGTTTAACCATATTGTTTTCCCGCACCCACTGAAAGTTTGGGTTTATGCTGCCCGGAGTTTGCAGTGTCTGCAATGGAAGACACGGGCATGCAGATTTTGGGTGTCATCTGCAAAGGAAAACACGGGGCTGTGGCTGACATTTCCCTTTTCTATGTCGGGGGAAATTAAAGGAAGAGGAAAGGTGGGAGCGAAATATTTTGCCTTTGGAACAGAGTTTTCACCGAAACTGCCTCGGACTTTACTCTGTTGAAGACTACTTCTGGTTTGTTAGTGAGGAAAATTATAGATTCCCCTCCCACCCACTTTTCCCGTTATTTCCCTTTTGCACCCATTTTGTGCGCTATTACGCCTGGCACACTTGTCGAAGGGTTTTTTCAAAGTTTAACGGGGATCACAGTTTTTTTTAACACATGTAACGAGGGGGGCACAGTTAAAATCAAAGTAACGAAGATAAAAAGAGAGAAAAGATTTGTTCGGATTTTTAACCCCGGAGGGTTAGCCACCCAGGATAACCCAAGAAAGTCAGTGCGTCATCGAGGACTGTCTAACTTATTTCCATTGGGGTCCTTAATCTTGTCCCCCAGGATGCGACCCACACCAGTCGACTAACACCCAGGTACCTATTTGCTGCTAGGTGAACAGGACAACAGGTGTAAGGAAACGTGTCGAAATGTTTCCACCCGCCGGGAATCGAACCCGGGCCCTCCGTGTGTGAAGCGGGAGCTTTAGCCACCAGGCCACCGGGCTAGGAGCTAGGAGCCAGGTGCTATAAATCGGCCCACGCAACCACAATTAGGTATATACATGTAACGAGAGATCACAGTTGTTACAACATATGTAACGAGAGATCACAGTTGTTACAACATATGTAACGAGAGATCACAGTTGTTACAGCATATGTAACGAGAGATCACAGTTGTTACAGCATATGTAACGAGAGATCACAGTTGTTACAACATATGTAACGAGAGATCACAGTTGTTACAACATATGTAACGAGAGATCACATTTGTTACAGCATATGTAACGAGAGATCACAGTTGTTACAACATATGTAACGAGAGATCACAGTTGTTACAACATATGTAACGAGAGATCACAGTTGTTACAACATATGTAACGAGAGAATCACAGTTGTTACAACATATGTAACGAGAGATCACAGTTGTTACAACATATGTAACGAGAGATCACAGTTGTTACAACATATGTAACGAGAGATCACAGTTGTTACAACATATGTAACGAGAGATCACAGTTTTTACAACATATGTAGCGAGAGATCACAGTTGTTACAACATACGTAACGAGAGATCACAGTTGTTACAACATATGTAACGATAGATCACAGTTGTTACAACATATGTAACGAGAGATCACAGTTTTTACAACATATGTAGCGAGAGATCACAGTTGTTACAACATATGTAACGAGAGATCACAGTTGTAAAGTGGTCTTACAACATATGTAGGACCGAACCGAATCACAGTTGTTACAAATATGTAACGAGAGATCACAGTTTTACAACATATGTAACGAGAGATCACAGTTTTTACAACATATGGTACGAGAGATCACAGTTGTTACAACATATGTAACGAGAGATCACAGTTGTTACAACATATGTAACGAGAGATCACAGTTGTTACAACATATGTAGCGAGAGATCACAGTTGTTACAACATATGTAACGAGAGATCACAGTTGTTACAACATATGTAACGAGAGATCACAGTTGTTACAACATATGTAACGAGAGATCACAGTTGTTACACATATGTAACGAGAGATCACAGTTGTTACAACATATGTAACGAGAGATCACAGTTGTTACCACATATGTAACGAGAGATCACATTGTTACAACATATGTAACGAGAGATCACAGTTGTTACAACATATGTAACGAGAGATCACAGTTGTTACAACATATGTAACGAGAGATCACAATTGTTACAACATATGTAACGAGAGATCACAGTTGTTACCACATATGTAACGAGAGATCACAGTTGTTACAACATATGTAACGAGAGATCACAGTTGTTACAACATATGTAACGAGAGATCACAGTTGTTACAACATATGTAGCGAGAGATCACACACTACCGTATATTATTATTATTATTATTATTATAATGAAGGGGAAGCGCTAAACCCGTAGGATTATACAGCGCCTGGGGGGGGGGATGTGGAAGGCATTCAGGCTTAATTTGGGGAACTGGAGCACAGATCCAATTCCCTAAATCAAGAGCCCCTCACCAACATACACTACCGTATAGAAAGCTCAGCATGTGAAGCGAGAGCTTTTGCCAAGATCCACAGCAACACCCTTCACAAAAGCGGCTAATCACCCCATTATTAAGGATAAAGATACATAAAATCGTGAGATTGTATCCACACGTCGCGTTAACCCGGACAAATTCGGTAACTATACGATAAGTATGGTGGTTAACGCTCTCGCTTCACACGGTGAGGGCCTGGGTTCGGTTCCCAGCCAGAGTAGAAACATTGGACGTGTTTCTTTCCACCTGTTGTCTATATTCCCCATCAGTAAAATGGGTACCTGGGTGTTAGTCGACTGGTGTGGGTCGCATCCTGGGACACTGACCTAAGGAGGCCTGGTCACAGACCGGGCCGCGGGGGCGTTGACCCCCGGAACTCTCTCCATGTAAACTCCAGGTAATATCCAATATTTTCAGTGTTAATGAAAAGAACTTGAAATTTTGAGATTGTATCCACATGTTGCTTTATGTAGATATTCGATTGTGTGATAAGATTGTACTGTACTAAATGACTTTAATATTCAAAATATATACGTGTATAACTATACGCAATGTGGCGGCATAGAGGCTCATTGTGACCCGAAGCAGCAATAAATAAGTTATAGAGTAATTAGGATTTAGTGTTCAGGAAAAGTTAAATGAGTGTATACATTGCTATACTTACTAACATCTTCTCCTGAACGTGTAGGATTGTGGGAGTCTCATTATCTTTATCATCATTATCATTCAGTTGTGAGTCTCGTGTGATCCTCTTCAGTACTTCCTTAGGTATCATCACTACCTCTTCTACCAATGGCGTCACCACTGACCCATTACTCATCCCAGGATCCATCCACAGCGTAGAAGAGAGAGAGCTGCTGGTGTAAGGCCTTGTCTGCAAAAGAGCTTCTGGCCTGCTGAGGTGGGCGCCGTCTGTATGAGTAAGAAAAAATTATAACAAGAGCCAATTTATTTTTTTTTACCTTAGATGACTACGACAAAATCAGAAAATGTTTTATTTCCACTGGGATCCCTCCCAAAGGATGCTACCCACATCAGTCTACTACCACCCAAGTAGGAGAAGACTTAGCTGGGAATCGAACCCATGACCATTTGATTGCAAGCCGAACACACCACCACTAAGCTACAGGTCGCTTAATAATAATTCTAGCTTCATTGATGGTTAAGGCAGGACTGTTGGGTATACGACAAATTCTAACCGAGCGAAAAAGTAATGTGAAGGACCTGGGAGTGATAATGTCAAAGGGTTTCGCCTTCAAAGACCACAACAATGTATCTACCTCATCTGCGAGGAGAATAATAGGATAGATAATGAGAACCTTCAAACCTAGGGACGTCAAGCCCATGATGATTCTCTTCAAATCGCTCGTTCTCTCTAGGCTGGAATACCGATGTACACTAACGGCCCCCTTCAAGGCTGGCGACATTGCAGACCTGGAGAGTGTACAAAGAACTTTCACAGCACACATACATACGATAAGGCACCTAACTTACTGGGAACAGTTGAAGGCCCTTGATCTGTACGACAAGGTCCTAGATGCACTAGAAGACAAAAAGAATGCAGATGTAATATATACAGACTTTGCAAAAGCCTTCAACAAATGTGACCATGGCGTAATAGCGCACAAAATGCGTGCTAAAGAAATAACAGGAAAAGCTGGTAGATGGATCTATAATTTCCTCACAAACAGAACACAAAGAGAAGTAGTCAACGGAGTAAAGTCTGAGGCGGCTACAGTGAAAAGCTCTGTTCCGCAAGGCACAGTACTCGCTCCCATCTTGTTTCTCATCCTCATATCTGACATAGACAAGGATGTCAGCCACAGAACAGTGTTTTCCTTTGCAGATGACACCTGAATCTGCATGACAGTGTCTTCTATTGCAGACACTGCAAGGCTCCAGGCGGACATCAACCAAATCTTTGAATGGGCTGCAGAAAACAATATGAAGTTCAACGATGAGAAATTTCATTTACTTCGATATGGTAAACATGAGGAAATTAAAACTTTATCAGAGTACAAAACAAATTCCAGCCACAAAATAGAGCGAAAAACCTGGGAGTGATCATGTCGGAGAATCTCACCTTCAAGGACCATAACATTATATCAATCGCATCTGCTAGAAAAATGACAAGATGGATAATGAGAACCTTCAAAACTAGGGATGCCAAGCCCATGATGACACTCTTCAGGTCGCTTGTTCTATCTAGGCTGGAATATTGCTGCACACTAACAGCACCTTTCAAGGCAGGTGAAATTGCTGACCTAGAAAATGTACAGAGAACCTTCACGGGGGCCATAAGGGGATAAAACACTCAATTACTGGGAGCACTTTAAATTCCTAACCGTACACCCTGGAACCAGGGAAAGAGTTT